CACAAACTCCTTGTGTGCTTTTTATGGTGTTCAAACCAACCATTTTCAAACTGGTGATTATACCTGTTCTCACACATTTGAAGCTGGGTTTAAAGCATGTGGATTTGTGACAATCCTTCCTTTGATCAAAGGGAAAGTGGAACAGGAGGATTTCAAGTATGATAACAATATGCACCAGCTTCAAGTCAATAAACATCTTACAACAAATAAAAACAATTCAAGGAGACATTAAAAACTATGTTGGTGACACTAGTCTTCAGCACCAATCACATTGGTTGCCGCAGTGTCCTAGGTGCACAGACTTGCTATAGGGAACCCTCTGGGAAGATTTCCTAAGCATACAGAAGGACTAAAGGAAAAATTTGTCATTGAAAATGTTGTGGGCAATGTAGTATATGAAGATTTCCTAAGCACACAGAAGTACTAAAGGAAAAATGTATTGTTGCAACACTGCAGGTGATGTAGTATATATATCTTTTATGCAAGGTCACTGTTTGAATCCCACAACAGGCACATTATTTGGAATGAGATACATTCAACTTTAGGATTTTTTGAGAAGACAAATAATAAATGTGAACTTCACAAAATGTTCACAATAAATGGTTCACAAAGAATGTGAACTTCAGATGAAGTTCACAATAAAATGTGAACTTCAGATGAAGTTCACACAATAAAATGTGACCTTTTTATGAAGTTCTCATGGAATTGTACACTTACCTTTTGAACTTGAGATGGAGTTCACAATAAAATGTGAGCTCCAATTCCCCGTGAACTTTTTATGAAGTTCTCATGTTATTGTAAACTTACATTTTGAACTGTTTATAGAGTTTACAAAAAGTTCACAAATGTGAACTTTATCAAAATAAGGGGTTTCAAGTCTGATTAATTTTTACATGATTTTCAAAAAGGCCGTTGCTATTTGTAGCCCACATGAAATCCATGTAGGTGCTGTCCCAATTACGCCTACACGGTTGTTTTCCGCCAAAAAGGGCCTACATTTATGATGTAGGCGCTATTTTCAAGCGCCTACATTGTTTTTTCCATGTAGGCACTTAAGTTAGTTATAAGGGTCTTATACACGTGTGAATACAAATCTATAAGGGTGCTGGTATTAATATACACTACGCCAAATCATTAATTTACTGTGGAGTTTAGAAAATTGAATATGTAGAAAAACCTCATCAATACAGGAGAGGTCAGAAAAATTTGAAAAAAATAATGGTTCAATCCATGTGTGTTGTCCCCTCATTTTGCATATTTTTGCATATCTTTGGCTTTGGTTTTGAAGACCTACCAAATCAAAACACTTGCAGAGATATCAGGTCAGAAACTCAAAATTGGTCCAAAACTAGCCAGTTTTGGGCAAAAAACTTCAATGCCCAAAAATATAAGAATTTTTGCTCAATAAACTGGATACTTGCAATTCCTGAAAGCTGCATAATGGGCCTACAATGCTTATCACAGTGCTGGAGCCATTGTAGTGACAATTTCTATGCTTTTATACGGTTCCTGGTGTGTACGGCTTTTGATATATCTCACTCATTCTTGGAGACACACAACACCTTTGTGCATCCAAATTGTGGATCCAGGATGTGGCATTAATTATGTCAAGAGACCATATGTTTTGGAGCAAAATTGATGATATTATTGGTTTTGCAAGGTCACTGTCTTGATACTGCCAGTTTTGGACCAAAATTGGGTTTCTGACATTATATGAATTGTGGTTTTAAAAATATCAAAAAATATGCCAGATGATTGGAATGCACCAAAGGGCCCAACCATGATTTTTTCATATTTTTCTGACCCCTGCCAGCTTCTCTATAATTTTCTATGTCTTCTTAATTTTCCAAACTCGGCGGTAAATTTGCAATTTGGTGCAGTGATATAAGGGTGTTGGTATTAAATTATAAGGGTGGTGAGATTAATTATAAGGGTGGTGATATTAATTATAAGGGTGTTGGTATTAAATGATAAGGGTATTAAATGTAAGAGTGCACATTTGATTATAAAATTATAAGGGTCTTATAATTAATTATAAGGGTGTTGGAATTAAATCATAAGGGTGTTGGAATTGAATTATAAGGGTGTTGGTATTAAATTATAGGGGTGTTGGAATTAAAATATGTAGGCGCACAGAAATTACGCCTACAGTCAAAAAGAAAGATGTAGGCACATTTATGTGACGCCTACACAATGTAGGCGCTTCAAATTTATGCCTACATTTTATTTTTAGAATGTAGGCATACACAAATGATGCCTACATTGGTTTTTCAGCCTGTAGGCGTCATTTGAACAAGGAAAAAGTGCCTACATTTATGATGTCGGCGCTTTTCGTGGGAAACCTTCATGTAGGCGCTGTTTTGGCAGCGCCTACATGTATTTTGTGTGGGCTGCAAATAGCAAGGGCCTTTCAAAATCTGCACAAGTTGTCTGTAAACTGTTCTTGCATACAACCAACATATTTTTAATTCAGGATACCTCAAAAGGTGTCCTGCTTTCAAAACTATATGCCTATTTTACAACAACAGGCAAGTTTCCACCACGTAAAAATGTGTATAAATTGGAACTTGAAATCCCTTGAATTATGTTTGCATTGTTAAGAAGGTGTATTAAGGGGTCTCAATTTGTCTTTTTTTACACATATTGACGCTATAACAACCTGCCTTTTGTTGTAAAGTATGTGTAAAACTTTCAAGTTGGGACACCTTTTTAGGTGTTCCAAATTAGAATTATGTTGTTTTTACAAAGATTGTTCTTACAGACAACTTGTCTGGGTTTTTAAAAATTATGTAAAAATTATAATAACTCGAAACCCCTTATTGATTCCAATCAATTAGGCATACTTTATGTATGACACAACATGTTTTGCCTATAACTATGTAAAAAAGCCAACTTGCAACTATTGTGAACAACCCAAGAAATAGCAAGAAGGCAAATAATAAATCAAAGCCAACTGGCGGCATATCTTTTCCCCTGTCTCTCCTATCTTGAGAAAGACCCTTTTTAAAAATACAGATTGAAGCCTTATTTTTTGTCAGCTGTTTGAACTTTCAAAACTCAAACTCTCCAATATTTCTACCCAAAGAATCAAGACCACTGAAAATTTACAAAAAAAACACACAACAAAAATACAAAATAACATGAAGTAGATAAGTTAATTTCATTTTAATTCTTTTGATTTCTGAAGAAGTGTTTCAATTCTTACTCCTGTTTTTGATTTGATATCCTGTTTTAATTTATTGATTTGATTCTCTAAGTGGGATTGAATCAGATGTGAGGAGGCAGAAAAAATATGTGGGGTAGAATCACAAGTAATGAGGCAAGATTGGATCACATTTGACCTGAGCAATGAGACAATTTTTTTGGATATTTTTTGTGCAATTCCATAGGTTGAATTGCTTGAGCAATTGAGTCATGTTTAATTTATGTGATTTTGAATTGCCTGAGTGGTTGAGTCGCATTGAGCTGATGCAATCTTGATTTGCTTGAGGATCAGGTCAGACTGAGTTGATGCAATAGTGGCTCTCAAACCTGCCCCGGTTTTCAAAAAACCCAGGTGACCCAGTTGGTTTTTTGGCAGTAACTTTGTGTATCAAGTTGACATTTGTTGACAGCTCCCAGCCAAAAATTCAACTGGGGCAACCGGGTTTTTTGAAACTGGGTCAGGTTTGAGAGCCACTAATCTTAAATCACATTTGGGTCAAATCACACAAAAGCATGTGATTTCACGGGTTGAATTGCGTGAAACCTGTGCGATCTCACATCGCACAGGCTTTTCATCGCCTGTCACATATGCGATCTGATATCGCATCTCACCATGCGACATGAGCGCGCATGCCACCATGCGATCCAAATTTGTTGGAAGTGTCTGAGGAGGTGTGTGAGCTTTATCAAACAAGAAGTCAAAGACCAGTTGGTCACACTCTAGTTGTTCCTCATCATCATTTGAAGCCTTCAAAAGGTTATCAACTTGTCTTTTGAACAAAGCAGGCATTGTGATAGTGAGATGATTACTTTTTGGATGAAAGTTATGATAAATAAGATTTTTCATGTCAGAATCTACCCGCTGTGGATCTGGTTGATTCACAGTGATCTATTGTTGATAAATCAGATGGTAAAGCAGCTCGTAGGAGATTTCATGCGTTTACCAATTTAGTTGTTACACGCATGATTCAATTTCGCGCTCAGGAACGCAAAATTTATGATAAATCACCCCCATGACAGTGGGTGCTCTTAGGAAGTTGAAGGGATTTGGCTGTCTTCGTGAAATTGAATCACCAAAAACTGTTCCATTTACTAGATTCTGCGAAATTATGAGGCATCAATACGACCGTATCAAGGCTATGAGCTGATCTCTTTTCAATCTTCATGAGCTTGGAGATGAATGATGTTTAGTCTTACAAAGTGACCAGACCTGAATATCTACAACAGCCTTCAGACGCGTAGGGTTGAGCCTGTGCGAACTACATGTACACACCTAGACCGGCAGAGGAAACAGTCCATATGGCATGACTGCCAGTACGGAGACAAATGGCCATGTGTACCGCCGTATTCTCAGTATATATGTGCCAGCTATGATGGTGCGTCCTGGTACGTCGAATCAGGGGAATGTCGGTCGGAAAAAGTCGGACCATGACATATGAATTTGACAACTTCTTGCGTAGGCAAACCTGAAAAAGCCTGAAAAGCACCGAGGACGATTCATAATCAGCGTTGACAATTGCTATCATATTCCGGCGGGATCATTTTTTCACATCCATAAGCTTAGGCTGATATGATATAACGCAGGAGGGTTACCTCAAACCTGACAGTGTTTCCGACTATCCTATTGCGATAGATTCACTGGTCATGTGATGGATTTACCCTCACTGATGAGCCGCGCTGTGTACACATCAATCAACTCAAGCTGAAATAAGCAGGATTGGCGAACAGTCATCGTTTGCCATTCAATCTATCTCGATTACTTATGTGGGTTGAATGGCCTGATGCATAAATTCCCTGTTTCTGATAAATTAGCTTAACCCTCGCACAATTATTTGACTTCAGAGCTACTATCTACTATACCAGTTTTTCTTCATCGATTGTTTCTTTTGGTCCGCAAGCTGAACTCAGAACGCACAAACTAAAATACTTTCAGACAAAATCATGCACACCTACTCATTGCAACTAGTCATCGGTTTCATCGCATCTTTCGTACGTCCAAGTGCACAGTTGACTGTGACTCAACCTCAATCGGGGACTGTATGGCAGTAAGTTCTACAACAAATATTTCGCCGATACGCGTCTCCTCTTGTCATTTGCAGTATATGAAGTTGATTTGATTCATTTCAGCTTACATTCGTCCAATCAAGTACAGTGGAAAAGCGTTCAGACCGACCCCTCAAGCATTGCTATCAAGATTGTCAACAATAATCCTTCGTAAGCACACCGTGATGAAACTAGCATCTGATACGACTTTGCACTAAAACAACCTTACAGAACCTATCCAACAGGTTTCAGTCAAGAGGTCAAGGATGGAATAAATACGGCTGAAAACAAGTTTAATCTCGATAAACTACCAGGAATCAAGCCCGGTAAAGGTTACCAAGTGAACATCATGAGTTCGGTAAATATTCTCAACTTTCTTGTTTCAAGCGCGCTGCGTATGATCGCTGACATTCTTTCCCTTTATTTCAAGGAGGGCACCATCCTCGCCCAAAGCGCTCAGTTTAGTATCAACGGTTCTACTGAGACGACTAAGGAGCACACTACCACCAATATCCCAACCGCCGTACAACCTACCATTTCCGCTTCGGCTGCTAGCGGTACGGCTTCTGCAAGTGATGCTAGTATGATCAAAGAGATACCTGGCCTCTTTACCATATTTCTTTGTTCATTTTTTGGTTTGATGGTTCTTCTTTAATCTGCCAAATCTTATATAATCGTTTTTTTTCTGTTTGCTTTTACACTTCATTTCTTTTGACTATCACGATAGACATTTTCAACTTTGGTTTTTTTCTCCTCTTCTTTTTTGATACCTTCCATTTTTTTCTTTCAGATTCAAGATTCTCGGTAGACTCCTATATTGTTCAATATATCAGATCAAAATTGCTACTTTTGAATTCATCCCGAGTTTTGATAAGATTGAAGACATAGGTAAATGTATAACAAGATATGTGTTAACCTACAACATCTCTCAGTATCTCGGTAAAGTGCTCTAGTGACCATATTCATGGTGATTATAACCCAAAGCCCAGCTAGAATCTACATAAGAGTAGGGGTTCTTTGATGTTTGAAAGTGGAGTATACAACTTCAAGCGCATGACGGTCACAGTAAGAGCACCCACTATGGTTGCGCTAACTGGGTGATTTAGTGTTACCGTAACACTAAAATACCCTCAGGTCCAATATTGACTTGATTTAGACATGCAATCCGTAATACTGCGTTAAATCTTGCACCCCGCGTGCTCAGATCCACCTGTGGCACTTCTTTTGAATGACATAACAGCGGACCGTACAGTGTGCGGTACCGTCGACTGTCAAGCCGGATCTTCGCGCTAGATCACTTCAGATGGGCTAGACCAGCATATCATCAACTTTACAAAGTCATTACTCGTGATCCTGAAGACTTCAAAACATCAAACATGGTATAAACTCCTTTTTACCACACAACACACCATCCAAGATCAAAAAAAAAAAAAAAAACATATGTATTTTCCAAAAAAAATTTGGAATACAAGTCCAACTTCACACAACTTCACACATTCACAATTACAAACTCACACAGTACACTAAAATCACAAACAGTATGACCTCTCACATACTTCACAATATTCACAAACTTCACAACTCACTTCACCCATCACCCATAACTCACAACTCACAACTCACAACTCACAAACCGAACCTCACAACTCACAACTCACAACTCACATATACTACCTGTAATAGATACTACAGATACAACATACACTTCACAATCACTTAACCCACAACTCACAACTCACAACTCACAACTGACAGCTCACAACTCACAATTCACAACTCACATATACTACTAGTAATACATATAAACTCACATATCACAGTTGGGTCACAACTCACAACTCACTCCAGAGAAGTCACAACTCACAACTCACAAGCTCAACTCATCAACAATCGACCACAAAACCCTTACTTCCCAAAATCACTCACATTATTCAATCAACTAGCATGGCTTTTGCACTGCCTGCCCCTCCTCCTGGAGTATTTCAAGATTTCAAGGCACTACAATTACACCTTGAATCACATTCGCTTCGTCACGGCTACAAGATATCTATCCTTGATTCCCGCCATACATTCATCCATTTCAAATGTCACAAAGGACCAACTTGATACGCAAATACACGTGGAACTTGCCCCTTTTTCGCTGAAGCCACCCGAGACTCCCAAGCTGAGCCGTGGAACTTTACAATTCGCGAACCTGCACATGACCATCCTGCTAGCCAGAACTCACTATCTAAGCGAGGAAGGAGCTTTAAACCTAAACCGCCAACTGAACGTCGTCCCAGGTCAACCAATACCAAATCGAATCCAAGTCCTCTTCAATCAACATCCAATTCGGTCAACCCACTACCCATCACTTCACCCGCCATCCAATATTCAACTCTGTTTCAAAAGTTTGAAACCTTTATGCGTAGAATGAATAACCTAGACCACTCAACACAGTCCACCCTCCTGGATGCCTTTCAACGACAGATCACCTTCGTCGAATCCAACAAAGATAATCAAACGCAAATCTTGGAAGAATACTTCAACCTTTCAATCACTCCAAGCAACGAAACGAAGCTGTCTCATACAAAAGAATCAGGCTCACCAACACCTGAAATATCTGGCAAACCTCCAATCTATCCGAAGGTAAGATTGATTGTCCTTTCATGTCTAGAAAGTGATACTTACTGATCAATTCTCTTTCAAATCAAAACAAGGCGTCTACATCCAATCCAAACCCAACCGAGACTAAGACTGGTCAATCAGCTCCCTTTCAACTTAATCAGGTGCCTTCCCAACCCTCATGTCAAACGTCTATAGCTCCCAATGCCTCCTCCCTTGACCAAACCAATCACCAAACCAATCAACAGCCAATTGAGCCAGCCAACATGTCTACACCACCCGATTTCGATATGGAACTCAACAAATCGACTGAACAAGCTGATGAAGAAGAACGATTTCCTTGTATTCCAGCTGAAGACAACAAAGAACGATTTCCAGGCATGATCATTGAAAATGATGAAGGTGAACCTCAACTGTCAGCAATTGAAGCTATCAACCCGGCTTCAGGCTCTGCCACCTTGCCTGCAGCGGCAGCGGCAAAGATCACAGTACCTCATAACCCTAAGGAGAAAGGTAAAGGTCGTAAGGCGTTAGTAACGGCTCCTGCTCGGGCATCAACTCGCATCAAAGGTTTGAAGGAGACAATTCCACCCATCAAAGAACCAGCAAAGCCTTCCCTTAAGATGAAGAGCAAAGCAACGGTACCGGCTCCGGTCATCCCCAGCCCTCCAAAACCCACCTTGAACAATGAGCCTAGACGACTATTGCGGTCCCATTCCCATCGGTCACAAGCTACCTCCGACAAACCTTCATCCACCAGTGTAAGTCATTTTACCATTTCCCAAAGTTTTCTGTATCTATCAAACCGGTTTCCCATTTTGAATGAACAACTCAGTCTAATCTGGCATTTCCTTATCAGCTTTTCACCAAGGTGGGCCAAGAAGCATATGAATCCCCCAAACAAGATGGATTGGCTTCAAAGGTGAGTACTTCGATCATATACCAACAAGGAAAACAATTGGATGCTGACATTCAATCTGTTCTCTCATATCTTTTCTAGGCTCCAGTCGATGAGGTTGAAGAAAAATCTGAACTGCTCAAAGAAGAAAAAACGTCCATGAAGGTAAGTCATCATATCATGTACCAATTGAGAGAAACCATCAGATACTGACATATTCCATCTAGCCCTTCAAGTACATGGACGATATACCGTCATACCTTCATCCCTTTATCATTGAGGCCAAGAACGTACCTGGAGATGGGCTTTGTTCATTTGCATCTATTGCAGTCTCTCTGGGACGTTCACCAGACGAGGCCATGTCGATCCGAAATGAAATGAGAGCGGAGGTCATGTCAAGGTATGATTGGTATGAAAAAAACCTTCCCGATTTATGTATTGATTACGATATCACCAAAATCCTCGAAATCCTTGAAAACCCAAACGATTGGGCACCTCCAACACTATATTTCCCAATGCCTGGAGGCCTATCAATCATCGCCAATACATTCAATCAACCAGTCATGTTTTACACCAAAATCGAATATGCCACTATGTACACCTTCCCCTTTTTCACACCTCCCCCCACCAACTGCCAACCAATCGTAATGGTCCATGTCAATGGAAATCATTTCATATCGATCAAACTACGCATCACTCCAGACCTCCCTATACCTAATTTGAATCCGGAATGGACACACCTACACAGTCCATCTGCAGAAGGATGGAAAGGTTTGTATGATGCCAACTCGGCAATATTCGCAACATTAGCAAAATCCCTCAAAATGGCCAGGTATGCAGAGTGGGATCATCTTTGGGGTGATACTCCACCCCAGGTTGTGGTGGTGGAAGATCAAAGTGATGATGAGTCGGAAGGTAATGGTCATGGTGAAGTTGATGTGAAACAAATAGATACTTGATTAGATACACTTTATACTTTATTTGTGGGTGCCAATGCTAAAAATCATTTGAACAATTTACTTAGGTGATATCCTTCATAAATCATCCAGATCTATGTCACCCTCTATAATCACTTGGTGTAATATAGTCTTAGATTAAGCTCAGAATAGGTTTGATTGAACTTGATGATATATGTATATGAATCTTGAAAGTGAAAAGCTGATTCTCAAATGTTCAACTTCGGTGATGTTCAAGATGCGAGATTGAAGCCTTCAAACTCGCTACAAGGATCATTCAAACCCATTGAGGTGTGAGTTTGTGAACATGAGCTCCGAATTGTATTTGTGACTCGAGACTTGCTCAAGTGAAGGTGTTATTCGGTCAACAAAAGCACTGTGGATCTTCACACACATTGATTTTGATGCAATGACCTTTCACCTGGCATTTAGAAGTTCAAATACTATACATCATTTTTGAAAAAGAAGAACATAACATTTTGAAGAAACATCTCAATAATTGATGATGTGAGATTAGAGATATTCTTTGATGAATTTGTGCTCGATACCCCAGAACTTAGCAAATATAGCAAAGTTCTTTCAACATGCCCAAATGTAAAACATACCAAGTACAAATTATTCACTAACTTGGATTGATCGGTTTTGACTAGCAGGGAGAGTAACTTGAATAGAGTCAGAGCAAGTTCACAACCGCTCAACACTGCCAAATTGTATGGACACAAACAACAAAAAGATGATTCATTTCTTTGGACTACTTCGGGTATAAACAGAACCTCAACTAAGTAATCGGTCACAACAACTCAGATGAATAGATCAATAGGAAGAAAGGTGTAAAATTCGATTTTCTGAAATTTTCAAGAGTAACAACAACAAGCTTCAGATGATTATTGAAGAGACAGTCAAAAAATCAAAAAAAAACTTCATTTGATATCTAATTAAGAATCTTAATCAATTGCTTATAGATAGATAAACGATATATCTAATTAAGAATCTTCATCAATTGCTTATAGATAGATAAACGATCCAAAAAATTAATAACTTAGATCGATTGATATCTAATTTGAAATATTGATGGAAAGGTCTTTGTTGTAGTAGATAGAATAACCAAGGTCTACAACAACAACCTTCAAAACACATCAATATGTATAAGATTCCTTCCATGAACCAGAAATAATCACTTTGCAGTTGATCGATTGTTCGATTTGATGATGAAATGTGATTGTCTCGAACCAGACCGATACCTACAACAGTTCAACCATCTGAACATAGATCAAAACGGAAACAAGATGGATGAAAACGAGCATAGGAAACTGATGAAAAAACTATTGAAATTAGTGTGAAACTAGTTCATGGATCAATCCATGATTAAATTATTTGATTGTTCAACATTCATAATTTGTAATTTTGAAAACTATCGATGTTAGTCTGAAACTAGATCATCATATTCAAGCTGGTTGAAAGATAATGCTAAAAGTCCTCTTGCCATATCCCATACTTGATCGCAAGTGCCTTCATCTTTTGGTGAGCTTGTTCTTTATAACCGGTCAAGACAGTAGCTTGATAACTGATCCAATCGGCTTCGGACATCGTGGATTGCAAAGATTGGACTGTATTAAGTCGATTCACTAAGGCCTGCGAAATTTGACATGAACATGCGAATCGAGTAATTTCGGCAGTTTCAGCTGGAATCCTTTCGTTTTGGGCGTTGAAGGTCTTCGAGGCTGTAGTTTGATGATGGATTTGAGCATTCCAAAGCATTTTGATAACTCCATCTGTCGCATCTAGATTTACATCGATGTTGTAGTCATTGAGAACAAAACGAGCTCCAAGAGTATTACCTCTTGGGGAATCTACTCCGCGATGATAAAGATGACCGTTTGCTCGATCGACTAAGGTGAATAAACCAAAAGCATACTTGGATGCATCTCTATCTTTGTGCCTTTTGTTTACAAACTCATCGCAGGTTACCACAATGTTAGAACCGAAGACTTTAGAGTTGGGAGTAACATAAAAGGACTCATTGGCCCAGGATGGCGCATTTGTTTCTGCGGCCAGAGTTGCATTAGAATCGAATGCAAACAAGGAGAGTGAGCTGAAACGCTCGGCAAAGAACGATTCGATTTCGGGAAGGTTGCCTTGTCTTTTCAAGTCAGCTTCCATTTTGTAAAGATCATTTGCGATTTCTTCATTCCAGGTATAATGTCCTATAATGCATTTTTAATATCATTGTAAGTGACTCTGGAACATATGGACATGGAATCCTTGGACTTGAAACATGACTAACCACATTTGACAATAGGATCATACCCAGGACGGAATCCTGCAGCATACATTCGCCCGAACTTGCGACCTTGTCTCCTTCCTCGATAAGTAGCACCATTACCTAAAACTTCATTCCTGGCTTTAGCGTGCTGATAGATGGTACTGATAGCCTGATCATAAGATTTGAACAAGTCCTCCGTCATGCCTTCCTGAGGCTCTACAAATCGAACAACTAGTAATAGTTCGGAGGTATCCGCATCGAGACAAACCACAGTTCCATGAGTCAGACTGAGACGAGGAAGACCAAATTTACGACCTTTCTTCAAGAAGAGAAATTTCGAGTTTTCCGGTAGGCCATATTGCTTCGTGAGTTCCGCTTTTTTTGCAGCTCGAGAATTAGGCTTGGGTGGCTTAGGACGCTCAAGATGCTTCTTGACTGATCGGATAAGACGTGACTTGATTGTAGATGGTGACTTATATTTTGGCTTTGGAAGAACCGCTTTCGAGGACAAATCCCGGGTTAGGATGGATGTAGGTTTTTCTAGATGTTGAATGATAGATGACAGTCGATTTGATTTGATTCTGGATGGAGGGTTGTCCTTGGGCATGGTGACTTCAAGAAGGATAGAGGGACAATCTGAGATCGAGTATGAGATGAGCTTGGAATAGTGAAAGTATAAGAATGATTATGGAAACTGAACAAAACAAAACAAAACACAAATTTGTTGATTGATTGATAACGTTTGGAAGTTAACTTCAAACAAATAACAATGAAATGTAACTGATTAAAAAACAACAAGATCGTTTGATAAGCCTTCAACTTCAGCTGCACAGTTACTAACTTCCCCTCTAGCTTCTGAGTTCTTCGTCGCGATGATCTAAGGGTCCGAAGCAGACAGGGTAGGTTATGAACGATGATTGGCCAATGAATAGCAGCTTTCAAAAATCAAAGATATATGTTGATACGTTACACTGCAAACATTATTCGGCTTCCCCAAGTGGGCAGGAAAAAATGATTGGGAGTATGATTTGTCATAAAATGATCTATCACTCCACACCTAAGCCAGAACACACACACTACATATGTGCAACAGGCTCAGTGAATAGGTGGTTATCATGTACATACAGTTCTGCTCAGTTATCTGCTCATCAGCGTAAGTTATTCATATGTAATACATGCTGTAACTTTTTTCAGATTGACAAAAGTATTCAAAAGATTGACTACATACACCCACCCAGTGTTTTGGTGTGATCTCATCAACTCAACTGCATGTAACACCCTTTCTGTTACTATGAAACAGCTTCAGTAATATTGCCTGAGCAGCTACAGAATTCTATGTAGTGAATTTTTGCAACAATTTTTCCAAGGTCAAAAAAGTTTCATGTGGTATAACATGTGATTTATTCATTCTGATGGGCAAAAAACTGAGCAGACCTGTATGTACATGATAGATAACTATCTATTTAGCTTTCTGCACATATGTAGTGTGGGTGTTATGTCTCAGGTGTGCAGTATTGGATCCTTTTATGACAAACTGTACTATTAATCATTTTCCTCTTCCAACTTGGGGAAGTTGAATGATGTTCACAGTGGTTAGGTTGGATGTTTGAGCGGTCAAGAGGAAGAATTAGGTTGAAAAAGAACATGAATGCGCTTGTCGCGATTCATATGCTGTACCTAGTTGGTTGAACAAAACACGTGGTATGTCAGAATTGAGTATGGAATGTAGTATTTATTATCAGACAGGTCACATACGTATGTGTGAGTGTAACTTCTGACATTACATATCACTGTGTGAGACTAATTACATAGGTATTGTTGAATTGCACTTTGACAAATGTCGTCAATGTGCAATACAACAATACATGCTCTGAGAAGTTCAACACACATTGATACACGTTGATACAATGGAGGATTTGCTACATTTCGCAGTGGACACGGGAAATTCCTTAGTATTGTGATCAGAGTATTTTTGGCTCCTGTGGAACTTACCTTCCATCACGAGTTTTAAATTTGAATCATGATACTTATTAAGAGCATCCGCACTCGTTTGCGGTTGTTAATTTGGTCACGTGCGGTAACAAACACAACATTAAGTAAAAAGTTACTTAACTCAACCAAATTTCGCACTCGTTTGCATTAGCAGCGCTGTAACTTTTATAACTTTACAGATAGTGCATGTACTCCGCACCGGTTGTGCAGTAAGGTAAAGTTTTAATTTTTTGAGTACACATCACCTGCTTTCATGGCCAGTTTTCATGTGATAGAGGCACTGTTCTCTTCTTTGCACTAAGATACTAATACTCCATCTACACATGAAGACCCGATATCATCCTGTTCATCTACTCGATCGATAGATCTTAATTTAAAATTACAAATTTAACATGAGTTTGTTCAGATCTTAATACATGAATTCCAATTAAAAAACAAAGGCTTTACTACATCGAGAAAGCTTTTAATGAGTCTGAATACACATAATGATCTTGTAAAAGATTTAAAGAATTTAAAACTAGGAAATAAAAATCCAAACTTCAATTTTTAATTTGTATCACTTGATCCTAAAAGTCCTCCAATGATTGGTCTTTTAATGTTGATTTTCTTAAATATTGACCTCTACATAGCTATATGAATCTAGACATCTTTCATTTTCATCTGAATGGTTTGGAGTCGAGTTCAAGATGGTTGATTGACTTATTTCAATTGAAGACATCGATCGGTGTCGAACGTTCTCGAGTTGATTCATGCAACTGTAAGGCTTGGAATTCATCGTGTGTGAGTGGTGAAAAGGAGATATTGGTTGTTGACTTTGGTGTTGGAGGTCTGGTTGAGTTTTGTTTTTGGAGTCGAGTTGCCGGGAACAAGTCGTGATGTGTGATACCGCATGCGTTAGCCAATTGGTAAATTTACCGATTCGCTAACGCAAAATGACCGAAAATTAACTACCGCGGGGCTAATTTTTCACCGGTGTGGAAAAGACCCCGCGTTTGCGGTAAATTTAACCTTACCGCACCCGACTTACCGCACGAGTGCGGATGCTCTAACAGTTATTAACACAAAAAGTGATTTGGCATACCATGAGAACCCTCCCATATAATATGTAAGCAAATAAACAACATGGTGTGATGTCCAAGTTTGTACATGAGGTCCATGCCGTGAGTCTTTGACTTCAAGATTACCCACGGACCACCACAGCTACTACAACACAGCTACTACACACATCCAATTGCCTTGGATGTGTCACACACCCAGACGCCCCAGAAGGAGTGGGAAATCGGGTATTCTGATTAGAGAGACTCCCCCTGAAATTGCATTTTACACAACAGGGGGCGAGATTGGGCCCAATTCACATCATCTTCACGGTGTTAGACAATTATTGTGATTGAAGCTAGGTACATGTCAGGCCTGCGGGATGCCATAACCCCCAGAAGGAGTGGGAAATCTGGCATTCTGAATAGAGAGACTCCCCCTGAAATTAAATTTTACACAACAGGGGGAGAGATTGGGACCAATTTGCATCATCTTCAGAGTGTAAGACAAATTTTGTGATTGATGCTAGGTACATGTCAGGCCTGCGGAATGCCATAACCCCCAGAAGGAGAGGTAATTATGGCATTCTGAATAAAGAGACTCCCCCTGAAATTGCATTTTACACAACAGGGGGAGAGATTGGGACCAATTTACATCATCTTCAGGGTGATTGAAGATGTTTATGGGTGCAAAACTGCAAAATGTGATATTTTAAGCATTAATATGCCCATTAGAGCATGAGTGAGGGTGGTGAGTGAGAATCTGATCAGAGAGACTGACCTTGAAATTTAATTTTGAGTATTTTCCTCGTGGAGAAGGCCAAAAAGTCATCATTATCACATGTTTAACCCCAGAAGTTCAATGATGCACACGGGAAAATTAATCACAATCTGAAAATGAAATCATTTTCCCCATGTGCTTCAGCCATTTTATGACCTGAGTCACATGAAGACATGGGTTTTTTGGCCTTCTCCACGAGGAAAATACTCAAAATTAAATTTCAAGGTCAGTCTCTCTGATCAGATTCTTACTCACCACCCTCCCTCATGCTCTAATGGGCATATTAATGCTTAAAATATCACATTTTGCAGTTTTGCACCCATAAACATCTCCAATCACCCTGAAGACGATGCAAATTGGTCCCAATCTCTCCCCATGTTGTGTAAAATGCAATTTCAGGGGGAGTCTCTCTATTCAGAATGCCAGATTTCCCCCTCCTTCTGGGGTTTATGGCATTCCGCAGGCCTGACATGTACCTAGCCCCAATCACAATAATTGTCTAACACCATGAAGATGATGTGAATTGGTCCCAATCTCTCCCCCTGTTGTGTAAAATTCAATTTCAGGGGGAGTCTCTCTATTCAGAATGCCAGATTTCCCCCTCCTTCTGGGGGTTATGGCATTCCGCAGGCCTGACATGTACCTAGCTTCAATCACAATAATTGTCTAACACCATGAAGATGATGTGAATTGGGCCCAATCTCTCCCCATGTTGTGTAAAGTTCAATTTCAGGGGGAGTCTCTCTATTCAGAATGCCAGATTTCCCACTCCTTCTGGGGGTTATGGCATTCCGCAGGCCTGACATGTACCTAGCCTCAACCGGCCCATGAGGACTCAGGGTCCCCTAAGTGCTCAATGTTTATTTCTTCAATGCAACCTATATCAGTAAATTGTTGGTTACTCATATCTCATAAAGCCATCATAAGTAAGGGGTTGTAACCCCCACCTGATTGGTATAACCAATCATAAGTACTGGTTTGTAACCCCCACGTGATTTTGTCACAGATTAGTGAAAACTGTGACAAATTCAGCAAGACTTTGTCCACTGCACACTGAACCATGATCTGATCCATGAAGGGACATATCACGTTCTGACAAAAGTGACAAAGTAGTAGAAGGCCAACAAAATCAACCGTAACACACTAGATAATCAAGAGTGGGGTTGTTTTCCCTCGGAAACAAAGAGTTATGACATTATACATCAAATCTTAGACATCATCATTTTCAGAGCTGGAAGAAGAACCCGAATCCCCTTTGAAATCATCACTATCCTCTGAAAATTCATCGCTACTTGGGAAATTGATGTCCTCGATTTCTGATGACTCAATTTCTTCATCATCCTTTTCTTTCTTCCTTTTCTTCACAATTTTTTCTTTTGCTTCTTTCATCTTTCGTTTCCTTTTTTTGGTAGGGTGGTCAGTAGCATCATCAGCTGAAAGAATTGGATCGGAGGGACTTGAGGGTTTATTTTTCAAGGGTGTTTTTGTAATTGAATGATTGATGATATTGCTAGTAGGTATGAGTGATTCCGCAGGATCGATCTTCTCAAGTTTGAAATAACCGTTGTCGATATCGCTTAGCCAATTCCTCTTCAACAAATTGGTACAACCACGGAACCCCTTGGCGATTTGATAAGTCTTGATGAGTGAATTAGCATCATCCTGCCAAATTTGAATAGGCCATCCCTTCTCAACAAACTGCACGGCAGGGGTAGGCCCTTTGGGAAAGACCTGTCCAGGCAGTATATCACCTGCGAGGAAAATCCTGAGGTTAGGTGCCTTGGAATGCAACTCGGACTACTGTAAAAGTCGGTTCACTTACTGATCATCTTGTTAAGTTTTTTAGTGAGGATAGCTTTTCTTGCATCAGTCGGATGTGGAACCCTTTTTTCAATTTCTTCTGCTACCACTAAACCATGCACATATACTTTAAACTTTTCAGGGAATTTGCTGATATCATGAGCCCATTCGGCGAACTTTGAGTTGGTTGAAGCGACCTCAGACCATCCTTCTTGACTGTCACAGCTAGCCGCAGATAAATCCTGTCCATGTCACAGACTGGAAAGCCCTCCGCGTGATTAGCCACTTCTGAATCACGCGGACTCTGAGTGGATGACGTGAGCTGTCCAACCGTCCTCCCGGTGCTGCCCTGAATAAGACTTCCAGGCACGGATAGGACAAGCTGGGTAAAAGGATTACCCCAGCTCGATGAGTGACCAGCTCCCACCTTGCTCACTCATCGTTTCTCTCTCTCACGTTCAAGCCTACCTTCATCTTCCCTCAGAGTGGGCTTTCCTCGGGCAAAGACCTTTTTCGAACCCGCTTCTTTTGCTTGCCCTCCCACCCTTGGTTCAAAGGGTCTCTTGCCCGTACCGTAGTGACTTCTTCCTCTGACACACTTCGTGAGTTCTTTCTGAGTTCTCACGGTGTCGCGAGGGAGCTCTAGGTTTCTCCCAAAGCTCGCCATCCTCACTCTTGAACTTTTCAAGAGCAAGGATGGCTACCGCATCTATCTTCCTAGAGATAGTCCAGTAAGTCCAGATCCCGGCATCTAGGACTTACTCCTCCCTCTCTCCACCTTCTTCCTTGGAAGGAGGAAAGACATGGACTATCACAACTTTTGAAAGATCGGGTAGATTGGCTAAAGCAAAGAAAAAGGGATCACTGAAGACTTGTCTTTCATCGCTGGTCAATTCCTTCCACATTTGGCCTAGTTTTTGATTCCGTGCCTTCCAGCCTGATTTGTCATTACGAGGAGGTACTGAAAACAAATCACACATTCATATAATGATCCCTTTGATGTAAGATACCATCATAGGGTGGTGACGTACGTTTCTCTGCCAGAGCTAGCTTAGAAAACGCTAGAAAGCGTATCCACCTATTGGGCTTTGATGATTTGGAACCCATATTTCTTAAATTCAAAAAGTTCCATTGCATTAACAAACCATCAAAACAAGATGCACTGGGTAAGTCATGCTTACACTAGATCCCATATCACCGTTTCTGGAAGTCCTCCCATTAAGGCTACCATAAGCATCCTCTTTTCAAAACCAATGCGAACAATCTCGGTAAGGTCAGTTATATCTTGGGGTGCCCGAGTCCGATTATGAGCTTGTTTCTGTTGTTGTTCCACAAGTCGCTGTCGAAGATCCGCAACTGTCCATTTGTCGACTTGTTGTTCAAAGTTTTCCGGTGTGAGACCAGGGAAACAGGTGACAAAGCTTCGATTGCCGGTTTTTTTTTGGCCAGAAGTTGTTGTGGGCAGGGTATCATGCTTTGAATCGTCTTTGTTGGCATGACCTAAATTCTCGCTCTTCTTTTGTTCTTCTCTAGGATTATCAGTTAGTTGTATTGAATTGGATGTATTTGCACTCAACCTTTTTGAGCGAGTCATCTTGATTTTATGTTTCTGTGAGGGTGAGGAGGAGCCTTTTTTTGCTGAGCGAGTCATGATGTGGCAAATGATATTGAGGAGTAGGATCACCAATGTTATAAGAGGGCGAGGAAACAGTTGGGGGTCACCAGGAAACCTGGACTTCACCTAACTTACACGGATACTTCACACAAATCACACATGTAACTTGTACTTCACAAAGCTACTTTTTCTTTTCCAATACGGAGTTCAAGAGAAGCTATAGTGGTGACCACTTGAACAAGACTGAATACCACACACTCCACGTTTTGATACATGGAAGTGTTGACAGGGATGTATGATGACCAAAAGGGTTTGGGTGCTTGAGTCTCTAATTGACTTACCAAATGGGGTTGGGAAACCAAAGCGGACTTCCTTTTTCAGCATTTTCCTTTCGTCTATCTAGTGTAGAGTTTTGCATTTGCCACTAGATAGTCTTCCCTTGACAGTAGTGTCACCAATGTCATCTGTTGGGACTACTCAATGAGAAAGTTAA